TGGCGTGGAAGTCGCCTATTCAACAATGGGGTCACTCCACTGCTTGAAAACGGTATAAAAATTATTTAAAGCCGAGAAAAAGCATCGCGGTAACAGATGCAGTTTACAACAGCAGAGCTAGTGCCAGCGCACTATGCGTCACACAAATTGAATTTCGTAACAAGTGGGTGACTGAAAACTGCCAACACATCACAAATGGCTCAGGTTATAATTTATCATTACGTCAGTTAAATACACGATGGTGTTAGGGTGTGTGCCACGGGTACAAGGCTCTACAATTCTCTAGTACGCAGTGTGTTGTCCTCTGACGACCCATCTTCAAGTATGTTCGTGTTTGTATGTAGGCGTGCATATTTACTTACGAAATGGAATTATTTCTTGATTAGAGAGGGGTGGAGAAAGGTGCTCAACACCCAAATGACCTTTCGGACTTCTTTAATTACCCCCCGAAAATGATGCATCCCCCTAATTATCCCCTCCCCCAAGCGCGCCTGGAGGACCATTGAAAGTAGCTGTATCATACACGAGCCGCAGCTATCACCATCGGCTGCGTGCACTAAGGAGCATGAGAACCTTGCGTGAACAAAGAACCCCTTTATTGTTAACTGCAGAGTGACCATCGTTCATTCTGTCTAAAGCTCGTTGTAAAAAAAATAAAGCAATAAAGTTAGTTGGGCAACGTGAATAGTTTTGCTTTTCTCAGTAATACGCAGGCCCTTAGCAACATATCTTGAAACGCTAAAGCTTTATTTTCAGTCTAGCAGTGCACGCTGAGAACGGTCTCGGTGCAAGTGCTCTCCTCGCTTACCACTGTTTGCATTTCTCCAGGAATAGTTTGTACAACACGCTCACCACTTTCATCATCATCATCATCATCATCATCATCATCATCCTGTCTACGCCCGCTGCAGAGCAAATGCCTCTCTCACGTTCCGTCGGTCGACTCTGTCCTATTCTTGCTTCTGCCCCACTATACGTGCAAGCTTCTCACCTGCCAACCTTATTTTCTGTCTACCCCTGACGCGTTTTTTTTTTATTTTAGGCAGTTACCCTTAATGACCAGTGGTTCATTGGGCTACGGGCTACTTGCCCTGCCCATCAAGATTTCTTTTTTTTTTTTCACCAACGTTGTCCTTAACATTCGTTTATTCCCAGGCCCACTTTTCTCTGTACTTGTCTCTTAAGGTTACACGTGTTAGTTTTCTTTGCATTATTCGCTGCTTCGTCTTCAATTTAAGCGGAACCCACTTTGCAAGCATCCGATTTTCTTAACTGCTTCTTGACTCTTAAACTTTTCTTAACTGCTTTTAAATCAAATGATTTGCAAGCATCCGATTTTCTTTCTGCTTCTTAACTAGGTACCGGTAGGGTGCATTGATTAGACACTTTCCCTATTAAATGATACTTTTTCCTTGAGGGAATCACTTTGTTTTGCCTGTTGATTTTTCATGGAGGCAACGTTCTCACACATACTCAAGAACCGCGGACGATAACGTGGTGACTACGAGACTGTTTTGCGTCGTTACGGCTATGGATACGGCACACATTTCGCAAACGCGCAGACGGTGCACAAGAACATTCCAACGCCCATATACCGACTATAAAACAGCGAGTAGCGGACATTCGTTTGTCATTTCCTGCGAATTTCAGAAAAGAATTGGAATTCACTTACTAGTATGCAAGAGAAACGCTTGGTTTTGATTCCAAGCGGGTGCTTCCATTATTTTCAAATTACCATCGCACGTTGCCTTCCTGTCACAATGCCCGTGGTAAGCGACTCCAAGAAACCCGTTGGTCTTACTTATCAAATCGCAATCAATGTCGCATGGGGAGAGAGTTTTTTTTCGGTGCAGCGTCTACTAATACGAAAAAAAATGCAGACTGACGAAGGAGCGCATGGCAGGTAGTCCAGCAGACATGATGCTTTGGGCTACTTGGTTCTAGACTTGCTGATGAAGCAGAGCAAACAAAATGACCCAAAAGTACTTGACATGTACAGTCTGAGTCCCACTTGGGTAAAGCGACCAGTCGGTCATTCAGCCGCCACAATTTTTTTTTTTCAAAGATAGCCACAGACTGACGCCGTAGTGATACCAACCGCAGGTATACCGTAGGTTAGGCACTTGTGCTATGACTCAGGCATGAACTGACGCTCGCATCTAAAGCGAAGTAGAAGCTTCGAGCGGCACCAGCGCCCACCGCCACACGTCCAGCCATTCTAAATATGATACAGGTAGTTCAGTATCGCTGTTTCCAGTAAATAACTGTTTAAAAAACGTGTCCAAAGTATCGCAAGCGAATCGCACAAGCAACAACACTTGGGCTAGCTGGCCTAGGAATACTGTTGCATTATGTGAGTTGTTTAACTTAACTTACATGAAGCATATGCGTGCCATGTCATTGATCACGCTATTTAACTGTCTGCGACATAGATAGATAGATAGATAGATAGATAGATAGATAGATAGATAGATAGATAGATAGATAGATAGATAGATAGATAGATAGATAGATAGATAGATAGATAGATAGATAGATAGATAGATAGATAGATAGATAGATAGATAGATAGATAGATAGATAGATAGATAGATAGATAGATAGATAGATAGATAGATAGATTGAAATGCTTTTGATTCTCTGGTAAACGCTCCACATTTACAATAAATTTGGGCATCAAGGCATGTCGAAGTACCGATATTTCTGCAAGGGCCAAGTGAATCACGATGAACAAGGGAAGAAGAAAAGAACGCAGATGTGCTGAACGAGCCATCACGTGCCTCGCGTGAATTCAGAAGAAGAAAAGATACCGACCAAGGTGAGCTGCAGGCTCGTTCGCTCAGCGAATTTTCGCCTCAAGTGCAAGTACGAGTGAGTTGTTCACTTCGGAACACTCGAGCACTCTTCTTTGCAGTCACCTCAAGCGGTTCCTGGAGGAAAGGCACGGGTCTTGGGGAAGATTACACGTGAGACTCCTGAGTCGAGGGCTAACTCGCTTTAAGTCCACAAAACAGGAGTAGGTAAGTGCAGACGTTAGGCGTATGCGTCAGCATTAGGCGTCTATGAAATATACAAGCGGGAGAAAACTGAACGCATAAGAAGCGTACAACCGATATACTAAAACCATTTCGTTGAGTCCGTCGATATCGGAAAGCATTCACCTCTGCTATGACGTCCCGGAAATCGGAGGAAAGGGGATCCAAATGCCAGTGGAGCGAATTCCTTTTATCTGGCGTAATTAGTGCTCAGGTTTTTCTTTTCTTTGTTGTGGGGTTGGGGGGAGGGGGTGAAGTTCAGTGCCGTGTCTCCCGTTCTAGTATGCCCTGGGTGCGGCCTGATATTGTGCCCCCCCCCCCCCCGATTCACAGCGGTTCCTCTTTATAAGGTGAATGAATAAAGTGGACGTTTCGTTCCTGCTCTACCCCCCTGCTCCATCAAACGCCTATGAAGTTTAGTGTCCACCGGCGTTCACTCTAACATCAGACGTGACGTAACTATATTGGCACCAGCACTTGTTCTGGCCGTGGCGACCGATAATTGAGGTCAATGCGTTGTAAGTTCGCAATCCAGGCGTGATATTAAAAAGATATGGTTTGCAATAACCTGGGCTCATTTGCGCGCAATCTAATCATCCAAGGAAAAACCATAGAGTCAGGGTCATTTTACTCGGGCGTACGAGATATGTCTACCTAGAAAGCTGTAAATTTGGTGTGTGTGTTTTCGTTACATCTCCTCGGGAGCTTACGTGTATCAGAGTTCAATATAAATGGGAAATGTATTTGAACCTTACAGGAACGTTAAAAAGAGTATAGGCTACTGCCAAATATACTTAAGCCTTTCTTTTTTGCGATGTTAGTGTATCGGCTGCCCTATATAACCATGTTGACTATTTCGCGCAGCACGAACTCTTCGGGTGCACTGTCCCGTTGCCACATCAGCGTCGGGGTGTTCCCGTGGCATGAGCAACACGCATGGACGCCTTTATATGGTGAGGGCACATATACCTTGGTTGGCAAGTTCAAGGATACATCTCTCCTCTCGCGAGCATAAAGCTACAAGCTCAGGTATGCAGGGTCTCGTGTGAAATCGTGAACTTTAGTCTTAGTGCCCATTCGCATTAGCTTTGGTGCGTGTAGCAAGAATGGTGAAGCCAGTAGCGCGTGCAATAATCACACTTCACGTCTAAACATGATCAATGTGCTTAGGGAAAACAAATCGTGCCATGCACGAGCAGAATACAAGTGAGAGCTTTATTCTTAGACTGTTTTTCGCATCCACTTAATTCCTGCTGTTTTCAAAGAACACCTATACTCGGGCTCAGGAGAACCATACTAAGCTCTATATCTCGGTTCATCTCAATTCAACATTATTCTCTGAACACGAGTATATTGTTGAGCATATTGAATACGAGGACTAGACGCGACATGTAGCTAGCGGTGAAAACTAGTACTTCAGATGAGATCCATCATACGGGCATTAGAAGTACGGAAGCGCCAGACATCTAGCTCAGACACAAAGTCTGCACCCAGGTCTCAGTTCTCGGTGATATAGAAATAATGAAATATCCTTTGAAATCTGTAACAATTTTATGACAACACTGCTTCTTCCAATATACAGAATTGGTGTTAATTGTTATTTCAAAGGGCACATTGAGTACTAGTGCATATTAGAACTAGTTTCACTGTATTAAAGAGATTATATTGCATTACAACATCCACAGCTGATAGCCCAAGAACGAACATAATGAAAATGGTACGCAAAAAGCGACAGCCTTGTCGAAAGGCTTCTCAGATTTATTCATTTTTCCGTTAAGTTCTTCGGCGTGCTCGTGCCCCATGCATGCCATCATTGCATACCAACTACGGCTCTGTGTCCCACCTTGCATCAGTTAATTTCACACGGTCGCCTAATGATCACCCACCTTGAAGGTGACCCATCATAGTTATCTGGTGGTTTTCATATGTATAGAGTAATTACAGCACAAGGGAAAAAAACACGGGATGGCGACACGATCGGAGACGAGCGCTGGCTTCCAGCTGAACGTTATTGCAAGGAACAAGCAATTTCGGAAAACGACCACGTGCGAGAGGTGATTTTGATGCTTAAATGCTGACCTATGCTCGCGGGATCAAATCACTGTCTCGGCGCGAGTGCATTTTGATGGTGTCGATATTGCCACGAGCGTTTCGTGTTTCTGTTTCGCTGTATTTGTTTTACACCCACAAGGACTGTAAGCAAGGTTCGGCGCAGATCACGCCGTTCAGTGGTCGAGAAGGCTTCGTGATTTTAGCAGACCATTTTCTTAAGACTACGTGCAGGGACGCGAACAGTGAAGCTTATCACAGAGCTTGCACTATCAGCAGTGATAAGGCTAGAAATTTCGATGCGCACTGTATGAAAGACGGCAGCGTACCAATTATCATCCAGTTTATTGATCTCCGACGCTCTGTTCGCCGCTATGTGAGTATACGTACGGCGTGCTTTGCTCGCTTCCTCTACAACTGTTTCCCCATCCACAAGTTCGGCCAAAGAAAGAGCTATGTAAATTCCTAGTTTTGCCGGAATCTTCTGCAGCGTCACGACCACGTGACAATATTGCTGCGTATCAGTGGCATCGCGATCAACGAGACAAAAAAAAAAAAAGATGACAGAAGATAGACTGGCCTGAACTGTTCGTGTCGGCAATGCTGCTTGCCTATCCATTTGTAAGTATACATGTGCGTGCTTTTCTAGTATGTCTCTCTCTCTCTTGTGGCGTATTTGATGGAAGTGCTGGGTATCGATCCCCGTACCTTTCCAGAGGTCCATGCATTCTGATTCAGGTACACGGTAAACAACCTCAAGGTGGTCCAAATTGTCGGAGCCCTTCGCCATGGTCTTTCTCACAATGATATTGTGTGTCTGGACCGCAAAAGGCTTACAACTATTCTTATCATTATACAGGAGCCATCGTCCGCCGTCGTCGACGCTTCGTGCATTCGTGCTCCACAGCTTCGTGGTGCTCGTCGTGACCGTGCTGCTCCTCACCACCATGCTCACCATGAACATGGCGCGCATCGAGCAAGGTCAGTTTGCCCCACCGTGGTGGTCTAGTGGCTAAGGTACTCGGCTGCTGACCCGCAGGTCGCGGGTTCGAATCCCGGCTGCGGCGGCTGCACTTCCGATGGAGGCGGAAATGTTGTAGGCCCGTGTGCTCAGGTTTGGGTGCACGTTAAAGAACCCCAGGTGGTCGAAATTTCCGGAGCCCTCCACTACGGCGTCTCTCATTATCATATGGTGGTTTTGGGACGTTAAACCACACGTATCAATCAAAGTAAGGTCAGTGTGTACTGTAGTGTTTGTCGGTAAAAACAAAATTTAAAAAAATACGCGGGCACGTTACTTCATCTCGTGCCGGGAAGCTAGCTAAAACACCGTTGTGGAAGACGCAGCATCGTAAAGTTCACGGGAGGGCAAGTATATTCAGGGCAGTTTTGAAAAGCCCGCCACTGTTAAGCAGTGGTTCTCGGCTGCTGAACCCGAAAGCCATTGGTTCAATCCCGGAGGCGGCGAAATGACAAAGGCCGGTGTACTGTGCGATCTCAGTGCACGTTACAAAAAAAAAAAGAAAAGAAAACGTCAGATCGAAAATTCCGAAGCCCTCCACTACCACGTCTTCGCTAACCATCGGTTTTGCAGCGTTAAATCCCGCGTTACCATCGACCTCATCGAAGTAGCTGTAGCGGCAGTCTTAGGCGATCACTTTACCAGTAAGAATTATAAGTGTTGACGCGGTCTAACGTCCCCAAAAACCACGGTATGAATATGAGAGACGGCAAAGTAGAGGGCTTCGGATATCTCGACAATCTGTGCTTGGTTAACTTAGTACCTAAATTCAAGTAGAACAGGCCTCAAACATTACCGCCTCTACCGATAACGAGGCCGTCTCGGTTGGGATTCAATCACGTGACCTCGGGTCAACAGTCGAGAGCTATAACCTCTATACCAGCTTGGCGCATGCTAGACCAGAAAGAGTACTGAATGAAAAGAAGAAATTGTGGGAATGGCGATGACTATCATTATGCTGAGGGATGTCTTTCAAGTTAAATAGAAGTAGCATACTCCTAGGAATTCTCTATCAGTTCGGACAAAAAGGAAATTCAGCCAGTTGCAAGCCGCGGATTCCGTGCGACAGTGAATTTAAGCAAGTCAGTGCGTAATCAAACATTATAGAAAGGCGGAGGAAGATTTGCCTGTTTGATTCAGAAACAGGCTGTACTAACAGGCCCGAAGCCTGGATTTTTTTCCGATGGGGGTGGGGGCACCTATTGAAGGCTTTGAAAAACTTGTACTTGTATTATTTATTATTGCTAATACACCCCTCTGCACCCAAAATATAGGGAGGGGGGGTGCATGATATCCTGTCCTGGCTACAGGCCTGGTACTACGCTTCGACTGCGATAAAACGGAGCCGTGTATCGCTCTCGATAAAGCAGAGCCGTCCGTACATAAACGGCGTCAGTGCCAGCAACAAGTATGGTGTCGCCATCTGTCGCTGTTTTGCAAAGAGCTCAATAGCGTAGTGCGTTTTTTCATCAACAGAGGATGCCTCACTTCTGCTGTCACGCCGCTCAAAATATACTGTTTGAAGTTGTATATTTCGCCAGATTTTATTACGAAAGGCCAAGAAATTAAACCACCAAAATCGATACGCGTCTTCCAATGTCTGTGGTGTTCTGATGTGAGCACGAGTATGAAATATTCGGTGGTTAACATACTCCAGGGATGTTTGATTTGGCGGGAAACGAAGCACTGGGCACATTGAGAGCCAGTCGTAAGAGGCGTGCAAATGAATAGAACAGATTGTTCTAAAAACTACATTTTACGTGTGTAAGTATAAAAAATCACCAGCGCGAGATTCCGTAATATGTTATCCTTCTATACGTAAATATAAAAAATAACCAGTGCGATACTCAGTAATATATTATTCTTTTATATGTATATATAACAAATAACCCATGCGAAACTAGGTAACTATATTAAAGCTGAAATGCACGCAGGAGGTAATGTCCTTCATAAAATTGTGACAAAACACCCATCGTTCTTACAGAACAAGCTCTTACAAAAGGAGGTTTTTCTTACACTTCTTGTGAAGCACAGTTCAAGAAAAGAACGAGGAAATTTTACTTGAGGCATAACTTAACTAGTTTTGACTAAACCTAATGACCTTAGTCAAGTAGTTAAATCAGTGTAACTGCATCATAAGGTGATGAGTATGCAATAACTGCTTTTCCGCAAGCCTTTTACAGCTTGGTTGAAATTTTGATGCATTATATTCAATACATCAAATGATACAAATGTAATTGCATAATTAAGCAGCACATCATTCCAACAAACATGATAGGCGTCGTCTCGACGATATGATGTTTGAAAAAGTGAGGCTAGTAAACATATATATGCGGAACAGGTGCATACGTTTACGGTCAGTTGCATTAACAGAAAGGGGGAAGCGCTTATCTTAATCAATATTAAAGGTTCACTTGTTTTCTGCGCTTTTTGAACGCCCGCCACGTTATATTGTTGTTTTCATTGATAACAGTTTTTCCTAGGTCATCCCATGTTGACGCATGCAGAAGATTCCGTACTCGAAATAAAAAAAAAAGTGTGAAATACGGATACCTTTCACGCTTTTGATACTTCAAGTATACCACATGAAGTCATCCGAGTGTCAGCCTAACACTATTTATCATAATTTTGCTTTGTCAGTCAAATTCTTATTAGCTTCTCTTTGTCTTCGAAGTTTCTCTGTTTTTCGGCGTTTTCATATTTTCCGTGTGGGTGCATGCAGTGCACAGTTTCAGTAGTATTCGTGGGCTGCTGGCCTTGGTGCAAACGATTAGAATAATTTTTTTAATGCAAAGGTGTCGGTTGAAGACACTCACTATTACCTAGAAAGCTCTGCACTTCATCATCATCATCAAAGGGCAATTACTTTCTTTTGACGGGGCACAACTTTTTAGTCGACTGGAACGTGGTGGCAAGAGCACAGACGCCTTGCGTGATTTGTGTAAAAAGATCGGCGCGTTCCTACTTTTACCAAAAATGTAGCACGAAAAAAATTGTTTGGAAACAATACATTTCATAGGTAGTGACTTTAATGTTTAGAATGAAAAAAGTATTCTAATATTAGAATACCAGCTATTTAGTGATCGATCCTTTCATGGGATCTGTATAGTGTCGCGCACGTGGGATTTCTAATGGTGATTTTTTGTTTACATTCCAGCCATCGGATTTCCAGCCTCCAACAAGACACGTCGAGGATGTGAGTGCCATATAATGTTGTACTGTACGAGACCAAAATTTCTTTACCAATTATATCATGGTCAGTTCCGCATATCACGATGTCATTACCTGCTAGACCTGCCTAAACACACATCGCGACTGAACCATTCTAAAGCTATCCACCAACCTTGCATTTGTGTTAACGAGAACAGGATTGCCGTCAATGAATACGCAGAAAATATAAACGCTTAATTAACACTGATAATGGTTAGTTAGGAAAGTACGTTTTAATTTTATCGGCATTAAAAGCAAGTCTTTAACACACAGTGAGGGTTAAGCTACCAGCTTAGGATTTTATGAAATGATACGTCAAGGCATCTGCGTCACTGTAACGGAAGTTGTTCTAAGGCAAGTATTTCTATTTGTCCGGCTATGGCTTAACGGAACCTTTTGTAGTTAGTTTAATTCATTCCTGGCTTCTTAAGATGACCTCCTTACAAGGAGGTCCTTACTTGCAGGCGAGAGTTTTAGGGCCGCCGCGAAATCGTGGATCCTTGAGAAGTATAGGTAAATTCAGGTGATTGACATTCCTTCTCGAATAGGAGCCCCAAAGCCTTTTGCGCATGCGCGCCTTGGGTCAAACAGGTGCGAAGAAATTTAGAATAGGGTAGGGTCTACGGCGCTTTGGACACTCACTCAATTTGGTCTTTCACCAAAAACAACTTCCATGCGTTCGATACTTCCAACTTATCTAAGAAAGCGATATATGTTAGATGTTGTATGTGTTACAAATAAACTTTTGTTTTTGTCTCAGTGCTGAGCCACACGTCCGAGCGATTGTTGTTCTGCGACGCCAAGCAATGTGAATACGAAGGTGAGTAAAGGCGTAGCGCTCATCTTTTCTTTTCCATTTGCAAATAAGAATATTGCTGATACTAAACGTCCCATTGTGTCAAGAAAAGATTAACATTAAAACTATAACATACGGTCATAGCCGCACGTGACAACAGCTCGATTCAATTTCTACTCTTGTGATACGGGGCCCCACCGTGGTGGTCTAGTGGCTAAGGTACTCGGCTGCTGACTCGCAGGTCGCGGGATCAATCCCGGCTTTGGCGGCTGCATTTCCGAGGGAGACGGAAATGTTGTAGGCCCGTATGCTTATGTTTGGGTGCACGTTAAAGAACCCCCAGGTGGTCGAAATTTCCGGAGCCCTCCACTACGGCGTCTCTCATAATCATATGGTGGTTTGGACGTTAAACCCACATATCAATCAATCAATCAATCAAATCAATTATGATACGGGCTCACTGCGGTTTTACCCAGCCTTCACTTGTGGTTGTGACCATTAGTATCACACAGAGGTGGCCCACCCATTTTCAAAGTGAAAGGAATATGCTGCGTACTCGCACGGACAATGTATTGAAATATTTGCATTTCATGGACTGCCTGCCTACAATGGTTCACTATAGCACAATTTTGTTTCAGCTGCTCGTACTCAGAAACTTTGATGTGTTAGCTTTTAGTCTCAGTATACAAAGGACCCAAAAAGAAAGTGCAAGGTGGTTAGCCCATGTGACATGCGTATGCGCTAAGATAGATTGCACCATACGGCTAGTCTTTTTGTTCCTATACAATAAAGAATATAATATACTTGGCGTGCATGCGTTTTTTTTTTTTTTCGCTTGAAGCTCTGTGTCTTCCGCATCGTCACTTTGCTTTCAAGAATGTCACGTCAAGCTGTCAGTTCGTGACCTGAAAATTCCGGGCAGACGTTGTTAAATCAACCAAAGACACGCACAATAGATCGTTATATTTGCCTTAAAAAAGCAGACTTCAGTTGACGTAACTCTTTTGATAAGTCAGAATTATAAGAAACTGCATCTATAGTAGTTTCTACAATCTGTACGCAAATACCAATGCTTTAAAGGGGCCCTGTAACACTTTTTGAGCATGGTAAAAAAAATGCTGCCGATCGGTAGTAGATGGCTCCCGACAACACGTAAGCTAAATATTACAGCGCAGCAAGCGGCTTGGAATTCACAATAAGTTATCAAAGTCAGCTAAAATAGCTTTCTCCCCTCTCGACAAATCAAGGAATTAAGCCCAGTGAACCCATCTATCAACCACTGGCTGATTTGAACATGGCGCGCTCGGTTATTACAGAGTTCACCGCGAGAGGCCATCACTTGTCCACGCGCGCGCACGCGATCGCACTGAGAAGCCGCATATTCGAAAAAAAAAAACGAAATGCTCAAGGTTACGAGGCGTGAGTGACGTTTTTCGTTTGCCCCTCCCATCTCTCCCTGCTCAGCTTCCAGCGCTTTTGTCCAGCGCTTCCAGCGCTTTGTTCCAGCGCTTTTGAGAAGAGAGAATGTGATTGCAGCATGTGGCAAATCTTTGTAACTCCGCTCATACTGGACGGATTCCTAAAATTTTTGCAGCGTTCAATCGGTGAGGTAATACGCTTTCCCAGTGAACTAATTCCATGGTTACTCAGAAACGCGTTTCAGGGCCCCTTTAAGCTGTTTATTGTGCAGATTCTTAATGCTGTTGAATAAGTACCAAAGGTGGGGGGGGGGGGTGACTGCCGACGTTGCCAAATGAGTAGTCTTATATTTATTGTAGCTGTTGACCACATCGGCAAACTACCAACTTACGATGCAATACTTGCTGGACATAATTATTGTTTCTTAAAAAATATTTGTCTGTGCTTCTTGTCCCTAGTGTCGATAGATATATGACTGATTGTCATGGTGTAGCGCTAAGAAGAGACTGGTAAAATGACATGAAGACGTACAACGTTCGTCTTACAGCGAAGGCTGTATGGCTAGGAGGAACGAAAAACCTTCCCACAGCGGTGTAATAAGTGGTCTCCATTGGCTGTGTTATCAGCTACGTCGTTCTCAGCGTCGTACCCAAGCACGCACGCCATTGGCTGCGTTGCGAGTTGGCTCGCGATGTCAAACGCCGCTGAGTTAGCTCGCGATGTCAAAAGCTTACAGCAACGCAGTGTTGTGGCGTCATTCTTATTATGAGGCCTACATGACCGCCGAGTGTTCACGTAGGCTTCATTATTCTGCATTATTCTGACGATCGCAGAAGTGAATTCGCCGGTACGAACGCTCGCTTTCGGCGGGAGTTTCTCCAGCGGCACTTGGGCTTCGGATTCGACGTCTGTGACCTCCAGTTATTCGAGAACAACCACTGCGAATAACGCATTGCGAAACACATTTAACTGATTATTACACTCTTCCATGACCGTCATTATGCGAGGCACAATGTACGGCAAGTGAAATTAACACTGTGGTAAACCCAAGCCAAAGGTATGGCTAACCTCATTAAAAGCACGAACATGTAACCAGTAATTGTTAAAGGCTTCAGTGAAGCGTCAGGCTGAATCCACGGCTAAACAACTGAGCCGAACGCTTCAGCTTTCGCTGGTTACCCATTTGTACGGAGTGCCTGGGCGGTGATTTTTTGTATTTGTGTCTTAGCGCTGCTGTGGTGATAGGCAAACACCAATTGGCCGAAAAGCAAGATCTTTTGTACGTATATTGCTATAAATGGTATACTCGAAAGCCATCTGGTCGAAGCACGAAGCTACAATGAACATAGCCCACATATATTTTCCCTTCCTAACCTTTCTGCCACCTTGTGTGATTCTGCACAATTTTTTTGCAATGTACACCTGTTGGAGAACATCGCAGTTGGTCGCTCCGACCATTCCTTGAAGCGTCTAACCAAACCTATTGTCATAAGCTTCCTAACCTTTTAACCACCTTGTGTGATTCTGCACAACTTCTTTGCAATGTAAGAACTGTTGGAGAGCATTGAGGTTGGTCGCCCCGACCATTCTTTAAGCCGTCTGGCCGTACCTTTTGTGATGACCTTGATGTTACAGCGCGATTCCTGAACGCGAGCGTGGACTGGTCGCTGAATCCATGCGACGATTTCTACAAGTACGCCTGCTCCCGCTGGAAAGGCCGCCACCACGTGCCAAACTACAGCGACGAGCGGTCCCTGTTCACCGTGCTGAGGCGGTCTCTCGACATGGACGTGCTCAGTGAGTGTTTTTTCATAGCCCCTCTCCAATGGCGTGCCACAAAGGGTGGCGGGGGGAGGGGGTGGCCCCTTTCTCTAGTCACCCAAAGGTCGCCAAAGGTCACGCAAAAGTCAATTCTATACATTAACCTAATAGGGAGGGGTGAGCTTTATACAATGACATAATAAGGACGGTGGCGCTGTGAGAAAATTTCCTGCCCCCCCCCCCCCCCCCCCATGAAGGGTCGCCTTGAAGGGTCGTCTCTATATACGATCCAGGGCGTGCAAACTACCTTACAAGCAACCAGGTTGGTCTTAAGAATCTTCCTATACTTTCGCCCTTTCACGTGTGCCATGGCTCAGTGCAACCTTCTACAGTTTTCTCATAGTGTGTTCTTCAGTCGTGTTACGTAGATGTACAGATCGCAACTATGGTGCAACGTTTCATATTTGCCAGCGTCCCTGGGTTTGCCAGGTATGTACGTGCCGCCTATCAGATTAGGTTGCACGGACTTTGGTAACTTTTTTGACGAACGGAACCGTACCAGAACTCAGCGTTACTTTTGATGTCTCGATTTCGCAAATTGTGTATGCTTCATTCTGTTTTCTTGCGAATAATAAGTAGTCTTATAGTGTCCCACCGAATAATTTAGTCCATGCAGACACTTCATGAGTCTCTCTTCTGCAGGCATACTAAACGCGACTCTGCTCCCAGAAGAGCTACAGACGCCCAACCAGAAGGCTGCAGCTTTGCTGGCAGGCTGCATTGATAGGCGTGAGTGGCTTAAATTACCTATTTCGCACCTAGAGTGGGATAATCATAAGATGAACAGATGAAGTGCCTCAGACTGGCTGGCCGGCGTTTCGATTAGAGGACCTGTCTTTTTCAAAGGCCCCGTGTCATCCTTGGCGTGTTAGTTTTAAAGGGGTTAGTGGTGACGTCATCTCATGGTGGTGGCGCGTGTCCCTGTTGATGATCGCTGTCTGAAAAGCAAAATACTGTAAAGAAGAAGAGTGCAGTCCTCGCTTCACTTCAAGTCAGGTGGTAGCATCTAGAAACATTCGTAAATACAAGAATAAACCTATGCTGTATGCTGGTTGGTATACACTTCTTAATGTGCGATTGGCATGGTTGCCGAAACAACACTGCCCTCGTCAGAATTTTATACGCTTTTTGAAGATACGGGGTTCGTAAATTGTTGATTTGAGCTAAGCGGTCATAGTATGTATTGCCCGTGAATCTGCTCAGAAACAAGTACTGCAGATTCACACCCATTAAAAAAACAAAAAACAAAAAAGGACGTTTGTGAATGCCAACCAATCAAAACTTTTCGCTGACAGTGTATGGATAAGGTATATTTCACCTTTTAGTGGGCTGATGCCCTATTCCTGCGAATCTACTTAAACCAATCAGATGCGCAGGAACAGGTCGTTTTGGGACGGTGGTTGAGCGAGTTAAAAACCGAGCAACAAGTGATACAGCCAAACATGGTCGCCGGTAAGATTTTCTCACGGGGAAAGCAAACCAGTGTTCCATCACAGCTGATGAAGGGAGTGAACTGGTGCAGCTTGAGTGAAGTTACGTGCTGGTGAGGCTTGATGGAGACAAGTGCGCCTTTTTCAACCGGTTGCCGACGCCCCGGGAGCCAAAGCAGTCTACCTGCAACATAAGCGGCCATTTGCGACTTAATACTATAGTCGCATACGTATCACCTGATTGATAGTGTTGATAGATGATTGATAGATAGCATTGATTGATAGATGATTGCAGCGAGCAATGGAAAGAAAAATGGTAGGTGTAACCTTAAGAGACAAGAACAAAGCAGACTGGAATAGGGAACAAATGGGGGTTAAGGATATCATAGCTGCAATCAAGAAGAAGAAATGGACATGGGCCGGGCATGTAGCGCGTAGACAGGATAACCGCTGGTCGATATGGGTAACTAACTGGATTCCCAGGGAAGGCAAGCGGGTTAGGGGGAGACAGAAGGTTAGGGGGGCAGATGAGATTAAAAAGTTTGCGGGTATAAATTGGCAGCAGCAAGTACAGGATCGGGTTAACGGCGTAACATCGGAGAGGCCTTTTTCCTGCAGTGAACGTAGTCAGGCTGATGATGATGATGATGACTATAGTCACAGGTGCGAACAAGTACTAATATAGCTTAGCCCTAAGAACCTTACACTACACAAACAGAAACATATGCGTTTGACCGACGGGCTCTTTTCGCAACAGGCCGACTGAACCGTCTAGGCTTGGCCCCGTTCGTTCGCTTGCTAGATCGGCACGGCCTCTCCGGATGGCCGCACTCGAACCCGAGGCCTCCCGAACCGGCGCTGCTTGTGGGTGAGCTTACTCGGCGACTGCGGCTGCAGACGTTCTTTTCGACCACCGTGTCCGTGCATCCCAAGGACGTCTCCCGGCGTATGATCCACGTAAGCATCCGCAAGAATGAAATGATAAACTAATTGTCAATCAAGTATTTAGTTAACCTAGGGAAGAAATAAAAGAATGATACTGTGAATGGCTAAATGTTTAATTCATCTAAAGACGAAATACAGTAATATACTTTAACCTAATGTGAATCAATAGCCATAGTCTACATCTGGATTCACAGAATAAAAAGCCGATGGTTGATCCCTGCTTCATTCAAATCGATTATAACAGTGAAATGTAACTTTTTGTCGTGAAAGCCGGTGCAGTATCGTAGGCGCTAAAGAAATGCAAGAGCATGACCACGCACACTGTGTAATATGATCTTAGCACATTGTGCTATATGAGGCTACGCTTTCTTGTATTTTATTTACATCACGCACATCACCGAGTCCCTGCACCGATCATCCATGCGTCAAAAAGGAACTCAAAGGCCAGGCTCGGTCAGTGGAGGTCAAAAAACATGTGAACGGCTACTATAAATGATTGGTTCAGCTGTTTATATCTTTTCCTTTATATTTATTCACCTATGTCACTTCCGGTTGGAGCCGAGGGGCAACAGAAAAGAGCGCCCCACCTGAGGTATTTGAAAATAACGAAAAAAAAAGTTCTTAGGTGGAAAATTCTCGTGCCGCGATGCGTTTAACTTCTAGCCCTCCACACATACATCATGTGGCAGACTTACGATGAGCTATTTATGTAAATTATTTATTGTTGGCTGCATGTACAGGTTAGCCGACTGTTAAAGGAAACACGCGAGCGCTAGATACATGCGAGTTCAACCTCAGAGGGTATAAAATTCGCTAGTAAAGGAGACCCTGAGCCACTTTTTCGAGAGGCATCGAATAGGGCACATTCATTTCCTCACGAGTCGACTGGCGTTCAAATTTCAGAAGTTGTCAAGCAAGAGCGGTGGTACAGAAAGAGATTTCTCGCATACATTAGCACGTTCTCTCTCCTTTCGTACCTGAGAGCGCGCTCAAAGCTACGCACGGGTGAATGGGTGGGGGGGGGGGAGAGAAGGGGTAAAAAATGTCGATTCGTCGGACGCACGCCAGGTTTTTTTTTCTGGCTCTATTGCCGGCTACCAGACATTCTCTACATGAAAAATGACAAATGACAAGGTCGTCATACTCATAACAACGATGTAGTTGTTATGACCTTGAGCGAGTTCGCTTTGCTACAAAAAGGACAAATCCCGTGTCCTGCATGTACATCGTCCCGTTTCCTGCGTCGTTCTGCCACAATATTCGTGTACCAGCAAGCCCACTTAACCACCCTTCTGTGTTCTTGTTATTTGTTTTTCTGTTAACGTGCAGGTAGCTTTCATGGAGATAGCGAGCAAGCGTATGGGCATGTCATGCCACCCTGCGGCGTCCGCGGTAACTATGAAACACACGATGCTCAGATAAGCCATTGACCGTGGACAATGAATTTACGACGCCTTCGTTTTCGTTTTGGGCTTTATTTATTAGGAGAAGAAAGAGTGATTTATAGCTGACTTTGATAATTCATTGTATATTTCCGGACACATTCGCGAGTTCAATATAACCTCGTCCACCGATCAGCAGCGTTTTCTGACCATGCTGAAGAAGTGTTGCGGGGTCCTTTTGAGCCAAAAGCCGCAATCAAACGCGAACATCGGCAGTCGGTGCCAGCACGAGGGGTGCAAATTATCACGTGACGACTACCCACATGAAAGCTCCGAACGGCAAAACTTGTGACGTCACATCGTGACGTCTAAACGCCAGTGAAGAGAGGTTCCGGTGTGCCATTCTCCTGAAATGTTCGGTCTGAAACGGATCTCGTATTTTGTGCGTACCTTACAGTTGGACGAGCCGCAAACGCTGTTATCAAAGGGGATGCTGCTGGAGATGAACGTGCTGGAGAAATACCGCCTGCTCGTGACCAAGATGATGCGCGTGTTTCCCGACAGCGACGAGAACATACCGAACAACGTCCTGCAGATGGAGATACAACTTGTCATGGTTTGTGACTGTTGGTAATTTATCATTACCTGAGGAACATACTCGGAGGCAAAGGCATGCGCAGGGTTCCACTATAGAGGGGGTGAAGGTTTATCGCAGTGCCTTTCCCCCTCCCTCACTATTAAGTACGGTGTAAAATTTGCGCCCCCCCCCCCTCATCCTTGAAGTCTGGAAGAGCACCTACCCCCTTCTCAGTCTCCTCGTGCGCACCCCTATGCTTGGAGGCAACCCTATTTCTTCACTTATGTGTATGTTAGTGCCGCTAGCACGTTGGCGTTCCTCCGTACTGGTGCGTTTCTCCTGGTAGCTTTGTGCTTACCGTGCTTCACCGAAGGACTGAACACATGTAGAGAGAAGGAACTAGTCGAGACGGGCTCCACCAGGTGCCTCAACAATTGCAGTTACTGTTGGCAATATCTTGAAGAGCGTTAAAACGAACTTCACTAATATTTGTGACATTGAACTGGCCCTAATGATACATAAATTATATGGATGACGTATGTCAACGAACTGTTAGCTTCGACAGTAACTATTGCTTTATATTTTTTGCATGACGTTTTACAAATATTTGAAAAACCAGAAGCAAGGGGTTGTCAGGGAGCGCTTGTTAAGAAAAAGAGTGTGACTTGGTGCTCCTGCCACTAATGACGTATTTTCTTCGAACACCGATCGAGGCGTGCTGGCACAGGTTGTCATAATAATTTTTTTTTACATAATGACTGATGAGCCGTTTCAACTAATGAAAGACCAAACTGCAAGCCAGATTATCCGTCAGAATTAAAAGAAACTGAATTCGTTATATGGGAGTCAATCTGTCAAACGACATTAACGGTATTCATGTCAAGTTTTCAATATCGAATTGAGAATTCAGCACGCAAGAGTACATGGTTATTGCGATTCATAAGTAGCGCACTAGCTACATTGTACGACTTCTGCAACATTATATTTTTTCAGAGATATTAAAATACATTCACCAATTGACGAGCTCAGAATCTTATTAAAATGCATCGCACTTCCAGACGAGCTATCATAAAAGCAAGTGATTTGCGTTTTCTGCGATATCATAGATTATAAAGCTACTGCTACCACACAAAAGGCTATTTACTGAATTCGTATGAGGAGCTTTCGACATAAAAGCCGCTTGTCCCATAAACTGTTAGTGTTTTTTGCTAAATAATAAGGCACAATTCATTAATATATACCCGAGGTGTCCCCGAATTGCGTAATTAGAAACGGTAATACGACAGCTGCTTTGTCTCGACACACTACGCTTGATTAGTCAGCAGTTACGGTACATAGAACTGGAACAAGTTTTCTTTGGTATGCCGAATTGGTCGTCGGTGGTTCATCGTTTGTTCCAGGCAACTGATCTCTCTTGGAAGCGGAAACACAAGCACGCCGTCAGAGTTATCCTGGGCAGCTTGCCGAAGTCCCACAAGGTAAGATACCAATTACAGCAGTAACTTTCCTGCCGTTAATTCGAACTCTCCGATTCTAAACAAAAGAAATGACTGACATAAAGGCATGGAGTGTACTGTCTTTTCATCCTAGAAAAGGTCTAAAGAGTATTTCTAGCCTTTTTTTTTCTGAATTGGGCTACTTTCGCAATAGCTGGCATCGGGGTGATGATGTTTGTGACAGCTAACGCATTCGTTTATTTGCTTGTTTCACGTAACCACGCGTTTACAAATCGCTAACACACCTCCTAATTTAGGTGAACAAATATTTGTGATTGTGAATGACTCGGTTTCCCTCGCGATTTGTGGTGCCTGGTTCGATTGGGCAATACCAACTTCGTTTTTATCAGAATATTATATTTATTGCTGTGGCCACTGCCAAATGATTGAAATGGCTGATTGTTCAATGTGATTAATACGTCTGCAGTCACTACGAACAACTGATCACCTACTCTTTCGGAAGACCATTGTTTTGTTGTATATGCGCACATTTATTTCGTATGGTTTCGCTCGTTTGCCCTGTCACATCATGCTTTTGCTCATATTGTTTATACGTTCGCCACGGCCAGCGGTAGGGGTGAATAAACCTTGATATCTCCTTCTGTGCACATGCGACTATGTTTTATATTTACTGTATGTAACGGCACTCGGACTGGTAAATTTACTTGTGAGCCTTACAAATGTGATACTCTCGTGTTGCTTTCAGTGGAATTGGGCGATCTTTATGAAGACCATCGCTGGAGATCTGCTGGACGTGAGCAACGACACGCAAGTGGTCTCGCGAAGTCCAGAGTTCTTCTCTCGCTTAGCGAGCATACTGAACAACGCTTCGAGGTACGTGTGGGCATCATGTGACCATCGTGTGTGCTCCGTGTGAACGAAGGAGCAAGCAAACGTTGACACAGTCATTCAGGAAATTGCTAAGATAGTGTGGCACAAAACAGAGGTGTGCGCTCGTAGCCACGACGTAACGAGTCGTTCTTTTAAAGGGGCCCTGAAGCACAGAGTGGATTCACTAAATGGGCTTATTGCCTCGCGAATCCGGCACCGCAAATATTTTCGGAATCGGTTCAGTGGCAGTGGAGTTGCAAACACTTGTCGCACGCTGCAATTGTATTCTCTCTTTTTCTCGTCTCGTCGAAAGCGGTAGAACCTAAACAGGGATAGATGACATGAGGAAAAGAAATACTTCGCCTGCTTCTCGCCACCTTGAGCTTTCTTATCTCTGTTTTTTTTTTTCTCTTCTTTGAATATGGGAATATTTATGACAATCTCACGCGTGGACACGCCGTGCCCTCTCGCGGCGGCCCCTGTAACGACTAAGCCCGCCTTGCTCAAATCAGCTATTGGTTGATACAAGGGTTGTGGCGAGTAATTTTTGAGCTTGTGTACAAATCAATTTCTAGGTTACTTTAGGTTGTAAAAAGAATAGAAATGAATTTCAAGGTTACTTTATTTAATAAATTAATGTGAAGTCCAGACCACGTGCGGCGCTAAAGTATTTTGCTTGCGTGTTTTAGGAAGCCTCAAATTCCGATTGGCAGCGTTTTCTCACCATGCTCAAAAAGTTTTGCAGGGTCCCTTCAAAGGAAGGAAAGGTTAACAGCACGAATTAAAGAGCAACGACGCACACAGTGAAGAAGCAGGCTAGGGTACTGCACACGTAGGTCTTTTCACAATTATTTTAAGAAAGCACTTCTAAAAACTGATTCATTTTAAAAATATGTTTTAAAATGAATTAGTAGACTTCAATAAAACTTAGGAGAATGCACCGTTGAGCTAGTTGATATGAGGGGTTTAACGTCCCAAAACCACCATATGATTATGTGAGACGCCGTAGTGGAGGACTCAGGAAATTTTGATGACCTGGGTTTTCTTAACGTGCACCCAAATCTGAGCACACAGGCCTACAGCATTTCCGCCTCCATCAGAAATGCAGCCGCCGCAGCCGGGATTTGATCCCGCGACCTGCGGGTCAGCAGGCGAGTGTTGAGCGAGTTAGTAGTTCAGTGTGGTAAAATAAAAAAAAACTGTGCGAAAAACGCGGACGAAGAGCAGAAAACAACAGCACGAAGCATATTGACAGCTGAAACATTTATTGAAAACGCGAGGAATACGAAAAAAAAAGCACGGTTTTCGTGTTCATGTATTTCTTTTTTATAAAGAGCCTTCAGAGTTGACTCTGACGTGTCGGTTACAGTATGTAGCAGTGTCCCGAAAATTTTACGCAGCCTATGTAGCATGTATCAGAAAAGTGTGGAGCTCTTTTCCTGAGTCCACCATGCTCAAATCAGCCAATGGCTGATACAATCGCTATGACGAGGAATCAGGCGTGCACACATTTGTTTTATTCGGTAAAAGTACATGCACTAAGACGCCTAATACGCTTTAGTGTACTACGGCAAAGCACCGCAGTGCTTTAGAGTAATTTCTCCGTATTGCACTGTTCTACTTCGGTCAATTTGACTTAACGGCCTGGATGCCCAACTTTCTATCACAATCTGTGTTACGGTGATCCTCGAGCGTTCGCAAACAAGCTGCCGTTCTTTCGGAGCCCAATTTATAACAAAATATTTTTTTATAGAAATCAGAGTAGCGAAAGTCGGGCAACACTGGCAGACTCACACGCCTTGACGTCGCAAACTGTTTGCTGTTCGAGGGTCTGCATTTAGGCAACAAATTGTTTCAATACCAGCTGCGAGTGCAGTTGAGCTATTTCAGCTATTTCAACTTGGCATAGAAGCAACTATTTTGCTGTATCGGCTGGAAGATTAATACAAGACGGTGGCGCAGCTTCATGAAGCATACGACGGCAAATTTGCCGTCGCCTGAGGTGGATGGCGTTTGTAGCTGGCTGTTTCATGAGTTAACTTTTGACAGTGAAACTTTCAAATAAGCATAGACACATAGACCTTCTAGTTCTTTTTTTAGCAGAAAACTGCGAATAGTTAGGTTGCCATGTCATGAAACCGTTAAGAGGGCACATGGATCAGGAAAGTGCATTTTTATTTTGTGATATATTCAGATGAAACTTAGTCAGCCTATGCATATTTGCATGTGCATGTCAAATATCGAAATATTTTCCAGTAAAATTGATTGTTTTATTCATATCAAAATGGCACGTGCTCTGTCGCAGCAACAGTTTGTCTGAACTGTGAGAGTCATAAAATAAATCAGCATAGCAGAATAATTTTGACATAGAAGTACATACAAGAGAACATGAATGTATGTTCTAAATGCATTTCAACAAACGTTACCGTCTGTCGTCGCACCTGGGAACCGCCAATAGGAAGGCCATCACAGACTACGTGGCGTGGCGCCTCCTGGTGCACATGGCGCCTTTCCTGCCGGACGCCTTCCGCCCCCTGGTGGGGCTGTCCAGGAACGCTGACGAAGAGGACCGGAGCGCCGCCAGTGCGTTCGCGACGCCCCCCAGGTGGCGTACCTGCTACGACCGCGTGGCCGACCTGATGCAGTACGCCGTGGCCGCCGCCTACGCGCAGCGGTTCCTCGTCGGGAAGGCCAGCGCGCTGCGCAAGGACGTACGTGCTGACAACGCAATGTAGACGAAGCTTGAAAACTGCACAGAACCTCCTCACCAGTGTTTTAGCTAGCCCGGCCCCGGTGGTCTAGTGGCTAAGGTACTCGGCTGCTGACCCGCAGGTCGCGGGCTCAAATCCCGGCTGCGGAGGCTGCATTTCCGATGGAGGCGCTACTGTTGTAGGTCCGTGTGCTCAGATTTGGGTGCACGTTAAAGAACCCCAGGTGATCGAAAATTCCGGAGCCCTCCACTATGGTGTCTCTAATAATCATATAGTGGTTTTGGGACGTTAAACCCCACAAATCAATCAATAAATCAGTGTTTTAGCTATACGCGTAGTAAATGTCACATAAAATGAAACATACCGCACGAGGAAAAAAAAAACAACCTCATTCATCAGTGGGGTCGAAGCCCACAACGTTCGATGGTCATGAGTTTGGCCCCACCCATTGACATAGCATCACGAAATTGCTGGGGTGTTTTTACGTCCCAACCCTCCAGTATGACTACGAAGGCTACCGTGGTGTAGGGCTCTGCACATTGCGACCACCTGACGTTCTAGCCTAAATTGAAGTGCATGGTCCTTTAAGTATTTCGCCTCCAAAAAACGCCGTCGCCCATCACTGGGCCCCACAGACGGAATGCGTCATTTTTCGTCCACTATGACGGTTTAGAATTTGTCTTAATATGTCGTAGTTAACTAAACTACCAGTAAACAACAATAAATAATATCCGCCAGGCCTTCTTCGGCTAAGTCAATTGTTTTCTGTTTTCATGTTGGTTGTCTAACAAAGAAACAAGCCCCCTCGAACATTGCGGTTTCTTTCTACACTCTGCGTCATGTATACGACGACACCACACGGAGAAATCTCATGGGATTTTATAAAGGTGGGGGTGGACACTAATGCCCCATTCTCTTGGCAAAGAGCACGGCGCACGCCAAATAAGGACTGCTGTTTAGGATATGCGACGACGTACGCGTTAGAGCTATGTACCAATAAATATTAGGAGTTATGTACAAATTAACAAACACGCGACATTGCTCTCCGATCCGAGTTTACATTGAATACCTCGTATACAGCGGATGAAACGTTTACAGCCGACGTTCTTGACGCCCAGATTTCAACGTGCATGGCTTGGGACCCGGTCGCAAGCCATCGCTGGTGTATTGCCCACTTTCCAATGCTAGACAACGGTTTAAAAATTTGAAAAAGGAACTAAGCAGTGCACAGAAATGTGCATACTGCGTATACAAAGGCCTTTGGCGAGAAGAAGCTAGAAGAAGCGATTAATCCCGCCTATATCCCTCATCCATGTGGGATATTCGAATCAGGGGGCTTTTCTGGTGTAACCAGAGTGTTTTTGATCTTGGTAAAAACTTTCAGCTCGGATATTCGATCACCTAAACTATTCAATGACAAGATGGTCTTACTGACTTTGTCACACTGGAAAAGTTTATCCATTTGCCATTGCTCAAACTAAAGGTAGGAGAATCGCAGCCAGCCTTAGTCCACGAGCAGTTCTTGCACTTTATGAATGCAGATGGTTTACATACATCTACATAAGCTGCCTTCACCGTTGTGGTTTACTATATTATGCCCAAAAGCTTTAAATACATCTAATGGCCTTCAATTGAAGGAATTCTTGAAGTACCGGTCGCATGGAAACCGTGAAGGATCGTGTCAAGTCATATACCTCACTCACTTCAACATTTTGTTTTAACACCTCTGTCTTTGTGGATTCGCAGGTGAAAAAGAAGTACGCCCTGTTCAGTGAGCGCGTCCTCGAAGTGGTACGGAAGTCGCAGTGGATCCATCCCAAGTCGAGCCACGTCATACAGCAGAGGGTGAGTAGTGACTTGTTTGCGCCATTGCGTAGTTGCACTTGCCGAAAAGCGCGATTCACTAAAGACTGAGAGAACACGGCAAAGGTGAGTCCTTACTCATTCGTGGTTTTAGATTGGTGCGAATAATGTCATGCCAACTAGCCAAAGTTGAATAATTGCTGACCGCCATTTTTTTGCTCCCTTTTGTCAACATCAGCTCGGGAAATGTTCGTTGGTAGCTTACGTCTCTGATTCGTTGGCGTTTGCTTTGGGCTCGACTTGGATAAAAAAAATAGCTAGTTGCGATTGGAATAGTAGGAACAAACCAAGTGAAAAACTGTTATCACTGTTGGTTGAATTAGCTAAATTGACAAGCTTCTGGACTCCCAAGTTTTTATGATCGCGAATGGTTCGGAACTTGTTACTTCTCTTTAAAACGCACTAAAGAATAAAAAAAAAAGCACTACCAGCTGTAGTCAAAGTCAAACGCACTTTTGACAAAGGTCAGCTGCTTTGGTTCCTATGAGCTATAAGGCTTACGGAGCAATCAGAAAATTTGTCCACTTTCTGACAGTTACAGCGGACGGCGCCAGATTAGATACTGTATAGAAGACACGCACACCACAGAACTAGTGACTGCGCGCGTACCTCGTTTTAATGTAGCCGATTGGCGTTCTTTAGTTTACTATTATGTTCTAACTAGCACAGCCAAGGATCCGTCGATGACGAAAATTGTATAATGGACGCGAACTTTTTTCTTTCTCTGGTTTTTTCAGCTCCTGTCTGTGACGCCCTACTTTCTCTACCCCTCATTCGTGGAGAATGACTTTGCCATCTCCGCATTTTATCACGTGGTGAGTTTTTTTTTTTTATCACGTGCACCCAAGTGTTGCCTATAAACGTTTATTCCTTCCCATTGATTGGTCTTATAGGTCCGTAGAATGTTCATACAGCCTCAAAAGTATACGTAGGTAGATACAAAATCTCTAAACGCACTATTAAATCTTGTTACGTTTGTCGACGACACATACTCCATGTATTCGCGCACTTTTCTGATATATGAATATAAAGATGCGGTATGTATATATTACCAATGAATAATATTATATTCTATAGCCTCGTGTAGCACTTAGTCGAGCAGCTCTCAACATAAAAAAATGCATAAACAGCAACAGAACATCTACCCTTTGTACAGGCTGAATAATGTTTTGCAGTTCTTGCTGATCACCTGGTTAGTACAGAAGCAGATTTCAAAAATCTTTGCAAAATGATGCCCATCACATTTCACCCTTTGCTCAGTAAAGTTCGTGAGGGAATCCGTCACGGTTCCGACACCCTCTGAAAGATAACCCCTAATCCAGGGTTTATTTCACAACAGTTATCTGTGTTCTCATTATTTTTCTGTTATATTAAAGAGAGGAACGTGATACACGTCGGTGGCAAATCTTCTCGTGTCAATCTGGTCACTTTATTACGAACTGCCGAAGCGGCTACCACGCGTCCAGACGAGTGACGTCCCGCTGCTAGTGGCGCCATCTCCCTGTAGCCGCTCCCATCACCCGTGATCCAGGCCAGTTCAAGCGATTCTATGGAGCAGTGCGAGCTTTGCATTGCTGGCTTCGCCGACTGCGGTGGCGTGACAAACTTCTAGTACATTTCCCTGGTGACGTAGGCGTCTCTGGCTCCTTGAGCTCTCGCACCAGCTGCGCGAGAGGCGTGGTGCGGTGGCGGGACGATGATGACTATTGGCGAGCATAGAGTTTCCTAATATACACTAGAGGAAACTCTGGCGCTAGTGTCTATGAGAGCTGCAGCGCACAGCGCTTCAGAGAGCATGGGAATGAAGGGTAGTACACACATTTGTCTAATCTTCGTACTTCAGGCCTGTTTTTGGCTCCGTGTGGGTTCGTGTTGCTTGGAGCTGTTTTCTTACGAAACAAAAATCAGCAAATGTTCAGCGGTTGCGCTTCACCACCTTATTCTTTGAGACTTACCTTTCCGAATCAGGGCCCGAAGTTCAAAAGGGTTGAATTTTTCTTTCAAAACAAAACCGAAACACAGCAAGAAACGAAGCCACAAGTACGATTCACCGCCCGGAAGTACGAAGACTAGGCAAATGTGTGTCCTACCCATCATTCCCATGGACACCGAACGATCGCAGCGACAGAGTCCCCTTTAGTTACTTTTAAGAAACTCTATGATGGCGAGGATGATGATGCTACAATATGATTAAATCTGTTTCTATAGTCAAGTAAACTTGACTTTCCCTAAATAAAGCACGTTTTAAAACAATTTGTGCGTGTAGGACAGAAGCGTCAGGCTTGCAATACGTCGTTGGTAGTAAAACGGTCACACCTGAGCTATGTCCAAAAAGCTTTTTTTTTGTTTTTAAAGGTTCCCGATGTGCGGATAGGCGCTGTCCTTGAGAGCTACTACTACGCCCGATCAGCGCTGAACGACCACTACTGGCAATGGCTCGTTGAGGACTGGATTGGCCCAGAGTAAGTTCTTCTTTTCTCACCGACGCTCCAGAACATCATTTGTTTTCACCTTTGAAGTTCTCGAAGTTATGACATCATGTTTGTGGTTTACAACCATAGTAATGTCTGGGTTTTTTCGTATATCAAAACACGATGAGATTGAGATGTGTAGTAGGGAAGGGCTCCGGAAACAATGAGCACACGGGCCCATGGGGTTCTTTTAACAAGCACATACATTTAAGTACATGAGCCTGTAGTACTTTGGCTCCATAAAAATGCGATCGCTGTGACCGAAATAGTACTGTAGCGGCTAGAGAAGAGAGACGTGAGATGACGTCGAAGGCGGCCGATGGGGCCGTGCCGATCTCGCCACTTTATTGCAGGCCTGAAGCGGAGCCACGTCGACTACCAGCGTCCAAACCGCCAGGCCAGAAGCTCGTTCTCATTCTCGCGCAGCTCGAGCTCGCGCCAGCTGCGCGAGAGACGCGGCGCAGTGATAGAAAAAATGACGATGGTGATGATGGCGCTACAGGGCTCCCCCCCTAGCGCTTTGCGCGATTTGAAGGCATGTGAAAAAAAAAGAGAGTGACAAATGCTATGTACATGAGCGGCAATCCATAAAGTGTTCTTTGGCCAGTCCAGGTTGTCAACGTTTATGGGCCATCAGGAGGCAGCGGTCTCTGGCGGGCGACACTGGGAGTTGCGCAAAGGACGCCGGAGGAAGTGCCGGGTCGCTGTGGTAGCCGACAAGCGGGTCTCACGGTGACCTGGTCGGACAGGCCGAGAGTGGACCGTGTGTCGCGAGGTCATGACAGGATGGTGGGTGACAATGTTGGCGCTGGGTGCAGAGGACACTATACAGCCGCCTGTCGAGATTAGAGGTCCCGACAGGGCCCCATGATGGTAGTGGTGGTGGTGGTGGTGATGGTGGGCATGCGCCAGTATCTGCGGCTGGGTGAACGTCAGTATTTGCACCAGGGATTGGTGCTGGTCTGTCTGGAACGCACCCAGTGTGGGCTGGGCCAGCGTGGTCTGCGTGAAAAGCATAGCCTGCAGCTGTTGGAGCGTCAGTGGCTGTCCCGGGACTATGGCAAACGAGGGGGGCGACATCATGCGTGGCGGTGCCAGAAAGATGTTGGGCCTTGGCCCCAGGTTCTGTGGAATGACAAGCGTTGGGGTGCCAGGCGGTCCTGGATGTTCCCCATGGGGCCTGGGTCCCGTCTGAGGTCCCAGGGTCAGGCCCGTGGCATGGGGTGGCCGCAGGGCCAGCTGGACCCCCTGTATCTGTCCCAGAGAGCTCTGGGTCTGCCCCAGTGCGCCTTGTATCAGAATCGGGCTGTGGCCCAGGCCCGGAATGTACTGGTTCAGCAGGAAAGTGCCGTGCGCAGGTCCAGCCGGAAACATGCCCGGCTGCGGTGCCGCGGGGTTCCCGATGAGCAGCGGACTCCCCGTGTTGAGCCCCATCGCGGCTCCGCGCTGCACCGTGGTCGCAGGCTGCGGTGCCGGTACAGGCGCGGGCCGCGGTGTGGCCTTGTGCTGGGCCGCCCGTGGAGACTGGGACCGGGTGGTGGCCGCTGCCGAAGGCGTCGTCATGTTCGCGCTGCCGCTCGACAGCTTGGGCAGGATCTGTGGCTGTTTCGGCTGGATGAGCCGGGGGGCACCAGAGGTGCGAGGACTGGGGCTGGCCGAAACCACCTGTGCGACGCCGGGTCTCGACGCAGGTGCCTGCTGCGGCGCCACGGGCAGAGGGGCGACGGTGGCAGTTGCTTTGGTGGTTGCCGGTGTCGACGCCGACGATGAGAGCAGGCTCTGGCTCCGCGAAGACACGGCGCTGGGGCCCGTCGTAGACCACGAAACAGAGACAGGGACAGGGGCGGGGAGCGGGGACGCCGAGTTTGGTTGGCTGCTGGCCGGGTAGGTGCGAGTGGAATGTGGCGAGGCACCCGGCAGGCCATTGCTGGCACCAGTGGCAGGTGGCGGAGCGGCAGGGGGCACCGTCGAGGAGCTGACCAGCAGCTGCGGCGAGGAGGAGGCCGAGACGTCTGAGCTGGTGGTCGCGGAAACGGCGAGGGCCACGGTGTCGCGTGCCGTCGCTTTCTCTGCGTGCGCTTGCGTGCGTACCTTGCTCTGCGACGCCGGGGAAACCTGCCTGGTGCGGGTAAACGGAAGCGGACGGTATGTGTTGCCGCTGCGGGCGAGCACCGCCGTGCAGAGGGCATCGTAAGGCTGCGGGCTGGTGCTTGAAGTGGCAGCGAGATGGCGCAACTCTACCGGAAGGGCGTCCAGAAGAATGGCGTGCATCAGCAGCTGGTCCGTGATGCCATTCACCGCAAGAACGGCGTCGAGCTGCATAAACCATACCTTGGGGTAGGTCGATTGGAACGGCGGCACTGGCGGGCAGAGTTGAGGGAACATGGCAGCGGGCTGTTCGGCGAAGGGCGTGTTCTCCGGGTCACCAATGTAGCGGCTAGAGAAGAGAGACGTGAGATGACGTCGAAGGCGGCCGATGGGGCCGTGCCGCTCTCGCCACTTTATTGCAGGCCTGAAGCGGAGCCACGTCGACTACCAGCGTCCAAACCGCCAGGCCAGAAGCTCGTTCTCATTCTCGCGCAGCTCGAGCTCGCGCCAGCTGCGCGAGAGACGCGGCGCGGTGATGGAAAAAATGACGATGGTGATGATGGCGCTACAGTACGACCAATAATGCATAGCAAGAGAATGCGAAACAGATCTGAGGGCGACGAGTATAGAAAAGTGCTGTTTCAACAGTCTTCGTAGCACTAGTGAGTAGCTGCCGCAATTTTTTCTGGTGATGTCAAGTGATACTATGTGCAATCCTAACCCTGCTTATTAAACGCTAAAGGGCTTCTACTACGCCTAATATTTTTTTGTGCTACGCACGAATAGGTGCTCTAAAAGCCTTTCGTGCGAAGCTAGCCTGCGACACGTATCGACCGCTTTTGTTAACGCGAGAAATAACAAAGGGAAGCTACACTGACAGGCTTAAACAAATTGAATTCATTGTATTGTACTTTTAACAGCACTTGTTGATGACTTTATAATGTATTTTATAGAGAGCTTTTCGTTCTTTTTCAATAAGTGTGTATACAACGGGTACCTTAAGGCTTGTTCACACTTGCGGCGTGTTCACGCGACCAAATTAGACGCAAACTTACTGCTTTGGCTCAGTTGCTCTTCGCTGAATTTTTTCAATTACGCAACTAAAAATGCAGGCCTCTTTAACAAATCAAATTCACAAGAAAACGGTGTTAGCTTATTTTACAGTTCTGTGTCTATTGAAAAAGGTGGGTGGTGAGCCAGAGCGGTATGAAAAATTTTCACCGCAGGAGGGGGATACTTTCGCATTGTTTGGCATTTCGGGAGCAATGAGGTTGAGTCTTTGAACTTTGGGTGCATTATCTGTGCTGCAGCGTTGAGTTTACCAGGAATTCAGGGTGCAAAAGCGCGTTTTAAAAACAAATATTCGGAATGTCCTCGAATTTTAGATTACGACAGTGATGTCATGGCAGCTATGAGTAGCAATTTAGTTTCCGAACTTGGAAGCATATGAGCACATTAATGAACCCTTTTCATTCGACAGGTGGGAGGTGCCGTTCCTGAGGCCTCAGGTCTTCTTCAACGAGGAGTTCAATACTCTAGGTAAGTACCCCAACTATGTGGAGTTTGGCCTATGTTAAGTACGTTGGGGAAATGATGTACCCTAATTCTTTGCCCATTCATGAGGCGGGTTTTGGGTTCCGCAGGACAGTTCAGCGCAGAATTTAGGCTCACGGAAACCAGCGCCAGAGGTTTGTTTCATGTGATAAGTCCGAGTTCACAAAACGAGCTGTGAAAGTACTAAATAAATTACGTTAAGGAGTGTCTGCTTATGATACTTTTGTTTATAAACTTTCAGAAACCGCGAAGATAATTACCGACCTTTTCGTAGCAGTAAGCGACAAAAAAGTGGGTAATAATCTTTTGCCTCCACATTCGGCATAAATCTGGGAATAAGGCGTCTCAATCACTTAGTCTGTTTAAGATACTTATATTGTCGGAACTCTGTCAGAAGCGACAGAACCACAGAATATACAATTTTGTGGGGTACAGCCCTATTCAGCGTTTTGCGCCTAATTCTCCCTATCCTTCTTTTTTTATGTCTCTTTAAGCCGTCCCCTTCGGAATACTCCAGAGTCCACTCTACTACACCAACATGCTACCGTGAGTATTTTTTACACTCTTTCCACAATGCGCATGGTGAGAAATTTTGGCCTAGTGATACAGAGCATTTACGACATTCAAGTGATAATGGAGGCACTCTTGATAGATACGGCTGCCTTAAGGCAACCTCAATTGTTGCTTCAATTTATTTCGCTCCTCCGGAACCTTTCTTCGTCGTTACGTCAACGTTAACATAAACCTGTAGTGCCGTGTCGCATAAATCAGGAATGTTGTCGAGGTTTCAGTGCTAAGAAATGCGTATTTTTGAGTTTCGCTGCTGAGGTTGATAACGGAAATTGTTTAAATTTCTATCATCGCTGACTTCTTTCAGGCCAGTCGATGCAGCCCGGTTTGGCTTCCAGCTGGTCAGAGAGCTGACACGAGCTTTCTTTGCCAGTGGTGAGTGTGAATTTAATGTGTTGGTATTGCGATGTGACATACACGCATGCGCATTTGTTAAAACGGCAAACAGCTGATTTTATAACCGGCTTGTGCATTTCGCGTTCACAATGTGAGGCCTAGAATTTGTTATCGAGTGATGGCGAGACGCGGCAGAAGAAATAAACATTTCTGAACCAGTGTTTTAGTATAACGCTGCATGTGTTGAAACGCTTTACAGATGCATTTGAAGATAGTTGTTGTGTGTGGATTTAGGTAGTTCGTGTCTATAATTATTCGTCGTCAGTCATTGTTTGACTCTTATGGTGGACGAAATTGGGTTACAAGAACACTTGAATGAAATGTATGGCTTGAAATATTTTTACTGCTAAACATCTCTGAGTCGTACCGATGGAAAGGGAGTTGATATTTTCACCAACACTAGAAAATATCTGCTCTAGGAGAGAGAGAGTTCATCGTTACACCCCCAGATTAGCGAAGGATATAAAACGATCTGTAAGCTACAGTGAGATGTCATTGAATATGGCTTCAGCGATACGATTTCTATGCGAGGACTGAAAAAAAAAGAACAGTATCAAGCTCGCAATGACGAGAAACCGATGGCTTGTATCACGAGAGAGAGAAAAATAACATTTATTTATACATCTGGCGTGTAGGAAGTCCCCGGCCTCGCAGGGCGCGGATGTTCCCTATCTTAAAATTACGGCTAATCTCAGAGCCTAGATCTCGAGGACGTTGTGCTCCGACTAGGCAACTGTTACTCGGGTGCCTCCGCGCCCGTTAGACGGGTCGTCGGCTCCTTTTCTCTGTTGCTTCGCCAAAGCCTCCTCAAGCAGTATCACGATACTGCCGGTGCAACGTGGTTCGTCCCACGCAGGGCCTTTCTTCAAAGAACGCAAGAACGTGAAGAAGCCGTGGGACCGACTGACGCAGGAGGAGTTCAAGAGCCGTTACAACTGCTTCCTACACCAGTACGGCCAAGTTTACGGCAAACAGGTACAGACATCGCCTCTCTAATGCGCCCGCACAACCCAATAATCCATGAACGTAACACGGGTTGGAGTTTTCTAAAGACATCAGTGTGAACTGTACTTCAGAGAGCTTTGTGGCGAGTCTTCGGGACCTGCAGACGCGTTACGGCTACAGCTATCCACAACCGAGGATATATCTGCAACGACAAGTGGTCTCGTCTCTTTAAAGCCAACAACACTTTAGGAAACGCTGACTAGAGTGATTCGCGCTGTTCGACAAAACACTCCCGTTGGCACTATGGCTTTTTCTTAAGACGATTCCAAGGCAATCGCCATCGTTTTTTTTTTCTCTTTAGTGAATGTGTTTATGCTGCTCCGCCACTCTCTAAAGCTTTCTGCACCGACCAGGGTCAAAGGTAGTCCGTGGCCGGACTACCTTTGACCTTTGACTACCTTCGTCCGTGGCCGGACTACCTTTGACACCATCACATCGGTCAAAAGTAGTCCATGGCCGGACTACCTTTGACCGATGTGATGGTGTCCTATCACACTGTTCGTAATGGCATCATCACGTGACCTGTCATGCGATGTCACAAATCTTAGCAATCTGCGACGTCATGATGACAATATAAGGGGACGTCGTCACGACAAAGATTCTAGCGTGATTCTTCCTTGAAGCTGTGGCACGCCAACGGTCAAATTTCGCGTTTGTTGGGGCAAAGAAAGCATTCATTGATTAATATGTGAGGTTTTACGTCCCAAAACCACCACATGATTATGAGAGACGCCGTAGTGGAGGGCTCCGTAAATTTCGACCACCTGGGGTTCTGTAGCGTGCACCCAAATTTGAGCCCACGGGCCTACAACATTCCCGCCTCCATCGGAAATGCAGCCGCCACAGCCGGGATTTGATCCCGCGACATGCGGGTCAGCAGCCGAGTACTTTAGCCACTAGACCACCGCGGAGGGCTTTGGGTTACATCAAACTTCAGTATTACATACACTAAGGGCAGTAAAGCTTTTATCTAACGTCACTAACCTTGTAGTGGTACATTGAAACACAAGCGATTCACATTTGTCCAAGCTTTTGTCTGCGCACCCATTGGTGCCTTGTTTAGAATTGACTAAGAGTTTGGATGAAATCTTTACTCGAAATATTCACATGAGATCAAGCGCAGTTAGAATAAATTCTCAATTCAGTGTCTGTTGCTTTCGTTGTAACCGTACTACAATACAGCGCACTTTTTGCGCAGATAAATGCCTACGCTTCGATAACCGAAAGCGTTCTGGACAACGCCGCTCTTCCACTCGCCTATCGGGTAAGTCAAACGATTGGTTGAGTTCCAGGTTAGCACCATGCTTACAAATGTGTCACCATCTTAAACTAAAGGTGTACCGCAAGCTCGTAAGGAAGAGCCGCAACTTGGGAGCCTCGGACTGGGTGCTCAAGCAGCTCCCCGAGGTCTCGTCTGACCGAATATTCTTCCTGGCTTTCGCCACGGTAAGTTTCCTAGAAAAATATATAGCAAAAAGGAAGAGAAGGTCGGGAGGCGTAGCAATTAGCGATGACACTTAATTTGTAGTTTTTGTAAAGTTCAATGGCGTGGATTTTCTTAGCATCTTTTGCCCCAGAATTCGTGACGCGGGTATGCCATGATTTTGACTACAAATGTGGCCAATTCAGGTGGCAGTACAGTGTAGCGGTGCCGTTACAGGAGCCACGCAGCGGAGTGTCGTTACAAGAGCAGAAAACACTGCTGATCCGTGGCCTGGGTTCCAGGAAACGCAGGAGCCAAACATTTTAGGGCAGCACGTGGCCTGCAATTCGATATTTTTAAAGTCAGATAGAAATTATCGCTCTTCTCCCAACAAATGATGTCATAAACCAGAAATTAACGGATCATCGCTCGATTTGAGCATCGCGAGCTCCATAGTTACCGCTGCCGCCGCAGGATGGCGCTAGGAGCCTGCACGTGCAATAGCGATCACATTGAGAATTGTGGCGCGCGTTCGAAGAAAGGTACTCAATGCCATGATGCGCGCTGCCAAACGGACATATTCTCTTGTCCCATTTTTATACTCTCCCTTGCGTTTGCGCTTGCTTATCGGAAAGTAGGAAAATGAGCTGAAAGCGTACGACAAATTCTTGGGAGTCCTCTTGTAATGAACGGATTCTGTAAATAATCACAGCCTCCAATATGTGAGTAATATTCGCATGTAATGAAGTCATTTGATGATCACATCAAGTGTTGCTGGGCTTTTAAGTCGCTTCGTCTGAGTTACAGTATTTATTTGCCTAATGCTGGCTCTCGTAAACGTGAGGAATGATGCCTCGTGCGTGCGAATGAATGGCTAATGTCACGTAGTCGTAAGGGCAATAAATGGGTGTTCGTTTATAGCTTGCTTATCGTGTAAGTGTCGTGATCGTACAATTGTGTATTTGTGTATATAGGAAAGACCATTTTTTGTGTAACAACTTGAGATTTTACTGAGAACTAGCATACAATGGTCTGTTACTTCTTGTTATTATTGTGCCTAACAAAGAAAAAACCGAGCCCTTAAATTTACACTTTCCTTCATCCTTAGATTTCAGTGTATGTAAATGAATCAAATAATTAAGGAATAATCAGTAATGTAGAATAGTGCTCCATGTCGAGAGAGATAAGTTGTTTGACGGTAGAGAGGTCGGCCTGACCTTCTTTGTTTTAGCCTGCTACTCTGCAGAGGGGAAGAGGGACAAGAGAAAAAAAAAGGGGGGGGGGATGAAGGATGGCGATGGGCACAGAAAAACAAGTTATGCGAATATACAATATTGTTCACCAAGTAAGCAAGATGTTTGAGAATAACTAGACAGTGATACAACAGAAACATTGCTTTTATGCACTCAAGTTAACGGGCGTCCTGGGTTTACCAAAATGGTAGCTCGAACATTTTCAATTTTATTTCCCCTAATTTATTGTATTTCCCGCGTTAAACTGCTGTCCAGATGTTTTGCGACTTGAAGCGGACCAGAGCCCTTAAAATGCAGCTGACACACGGACCTTTCAGTCCATCTAATTATAGGTGAGTGATGGCTGTATGTCTTGTTTTTCATCCGCAAGAAAAATGTCTCCCAGAAATGTCGTATGAACGTCCGTGATCGAAAAAAAAAACAGTAATGTTTGTATTTATACAGCAAGTAAGCCCAGCTATGCAAAATAGGTTTTCAAGTGTATATATATTACTGTTGCCTACTCATTCTAGTAACCAAAATTATGACTAAAACCAAGCTTCGGCAAACTTGGCGTTTGAACAATAGCAGATGAATTTTCTATCCAATAAACATATCTATCTATCTATCTATCTATCTATCTATCTATCTATCTATCTATCTATCTATCTATCTATCTATCTATCTATCTATCTATCTATCTATCTATCTATCTATCTATCTATCTATCTATCTATCTATCTATCTATCTATCTATCTGTCTGTCTGTCTGTCTGTCTGTCTGTCTGTCTGTCTGTCTGTCTGTCTGTCTGTCTGTCTGTCTGTCTGTCTGTCTGTCTATCTATCTATCTATCTATCTATCTATCTATCTATCTATCTATCTATCTATCTATCTATCTATCTATCTATCTATCTATCTATCTATCTATCTATCTATCTATCTATCTATCTATCTATCTATCTACCTATCTATTCATCTATTCATCTATCTATCTATCTATCTATCTATCTATCTATCTATCTATCTATCTATCTATCTATCTATCTATCTATTCATCCATCTATCTATCTATCTATCTATCTATCTATCTATCTATCTATCTATCTATCTATCTATTCATCCATCTATCTATCTATCTATCTATCTATCTATTCATCCATCTATCTATCTATCTATCTATCTATCTATCTATCTATCTATCTATCTATTCATCCATCTATCTATCTATCGAATCTGAAACGTCCCGGTAATAAAAACTCGCCCGTATTTTTTTGTTGTTGTTGTTTTGCCTGTGAGCAATGGGCACTGTTTGCGTCACATTTCGAACTTCAGGGTGAACGTGCCCTTGATCAACTTCCCGAAGTTCGCGCAAGCCTTCGGATGCGGCCCGGACGACGCCATGGTGCGCGAGGAGCAGTGCAGCTTGTGGGACTCGTAGCGCCCGATCACAACGACGACATCTTCGTGCAAGCGGCGTATATTGAACCGCATATGGATACGTAAACGCGCCGTGACAGTGTCGACTGGCCTACTGCAGCGCGACGGAGAGGTGCTATTTGCCGTTGTACCCGAGATGGCACGTCGGACGCATATTTTAATTGCTATTTCTAATATACCTAAAGTGACGGGTGCGTCGTGCACGTCGACGCCGAGAATTCTATATCTGTTTTATTTACGAGTCCTATATTTTTTTTCATAAATATCGTTAATTTTTATCATTCCGTATTTGACGTAATTGATTCGCACAACTGAAACCTCTTGCCAGTGGTTACCAAGTTAAAAAAAAAAATGATGTGTGCAGACATTGGCGCTGCACAAAATAAAGAAGCGTAGCGTGTAGAAACCGTCACGTCCACTCAAGGTGCACCCGTGCAGATTCCACATTTTACAAGATAGCACTATAGGGATCGTGTCACAGAATGTGTGGGGTCAGAGTAGGGAGAGAAAAATCTCTACACAGGTAAAGAACGAGACAGGCTTTGAACCGGAATAAAATCCAACATGGGCCACCACGAGTGGCTTGCGTAAATATTTACTGTCTCCAACCTCCCTACCGTATCCCTGCGTTCACAGTTATCTAAGTGATCTCGTGTTACCTCCTCGAAAGATGGAGAATGGTCCAGTCATTAACATGTCCGAACTGCTCCCTACGGGAAACATATCAGCATGTTTTAAGACAATGCGTCGTTGCTTGTGTTTTCTGGAGGGCTGTGCATGCAGAATTTCATGACCTCAGAGCAGACCGCTTTGTTTCTTCTGGACGTTGTTATCGAGGCCGCTTTGCCCGCCTTCCCATTGTTGCTGGTTACTGTCTTTCGCGTTACCGCTGTGAGGTTGTTGCAGCAGGTCGTCGCCGCCGTGCTCTCTTCCCGATTTTGGAAGGACTGTACCAAGAAATACTATATCTGTTTTGTCGGAGGAACTCGTCTTTCTGGGTGAGGAAAAATTCCTTTGACACTGGTCCTGCCCTTTTGTGTTCGTCGGCGAGAGATGTGTAAAGCTTGTTTTGAGGCCTGCCTGGTTTTGATAGGTTAATCTTTGTTTAGTAGTCGCACAAATACATTGTAAAGACTATGTAAATACCTAACATATAGATATTTACATTTCATTTGTGTGTTCTCTGTTCACCATGTATTGTGCATATGTTGACATATCTTGTAACAATTCTCGTGTATCTGTGTAAGTTGTGTACCGTGCACATATGTAAACATAACATTTTATAACAACTTTTGGTGTGTCTGTGCATGTTGTGTTCTGTGGCGATGTTCTGTTGGATTGTAATTGAGGTTCACTATTCGTGAGAATAAATTTCTGTAAACACATGTACGGCCATGAATTCAACTGTCGAGTCGGGTTGTGTAATCACCACCCACTGGACGGCTTTATGCTCTCCCATAGTAGACTACCCAGTACTCTAAATGGTTAACCAATTTTTCTAAACACATGTTCGGACATGCGGACAAACTGTGTTATAATACCGCCTACACTTAGACGTTTGCCTCGCGTTCCTCAACATGCTGCCGATTTTCTGCACGTTCCTCCATCAGTGGAAGAGGTAAAGGCAGCATTACAATCTATGAAACGGGGGACAGCCCCTGAGCCAGACGGTTTTCCAGTGTAATTTTACTTGTCATTTTTGGAATGAGCTTTGTACTGCTTTCACAGCGATTATCCGGCGATGTTTCGAGGATGGTGCCTTTCCATAAAGTTTGTGAGACGGACGTATTGTGCTTATTCCAAAAGGTGATGCTTCCTCTTTCAATCCTGAAGATTGGAGACCTATGGCGCTTCTTAACGTTGACTATAAGATATTCGCGACAGTGATCGTTCAACGCGGGCTCTGTTGAACACCCTGGTGGGTCATCACCAGACTTCATCTATGCCTGGGCGAGAAATGCACAGCTTGTCCTTTACCACCCGGCATATCATAGCCTTTACTCTTTCGTGATCTGCGCGTGGTCTTCTTGTGTCTTTGGACCAAGAGAAAGCATTTGACCGACTAGAGCACACGTATACCTTAAAAGTACTCACAGCCCTTGGTTGTCCTGATAATTTTGTAGATTTAATTAGACATACATACTCTGGTATAAAAAGCACACTAGTTCTAGATTGTTGGGAGAGTGCTGCTTTTTCTATTGTACGTGAGGTCCGTCACTGATGCCCATTGTCTCCTGCTCTACTTGTCGTCAGCTTTGAGCCATTTTCGTGCGCTCTAGAAGCGGATTCGCATGTCCGGGGTCTTGCGCTTCCGGGCAGCAGTGCCGTGAAAGTCACAGATTTTGCTGACGACATAACCCTGTACCTTTCAGATGATAATCGAATTTCACATAGCCCGCGTTTATTCTTTCAGTTTGATGACATTTCAGGTGCCGTGCTAAACCTCTATAAATCCCGGTATTTGTTCATCGGCAGTCCAAACTCCACATCTCTTCTTCAGCCGGCTGCGTCTCTTCGCATTTCAGTAATTCTATGCAACCACTACGGCGTTTGTAACTCCGTTTGGTCAAACGTCCTCGACGAAGTAAAACAAAAAATTGAGAACGTCCGGAATTTCGACTTCCCGGTTATAAAGCTGAGGTACCTCGGGCAGACTGTGTTCTGCGTTCGCATTTGGTATCTTTCTCGTGTGGAGCAGCCGCCATTGCGCATCGTGAGGTCATTGCAGTCTGCCTTGTGTTCCTTCTTTTGGTCCGGTGGCATTGGGTTCGTTTCTTGTGCAGCGTTAGGACAGCAGCGTTCCCAGGAAGGTTTTGCTTTCTCTTCGGTATCAATACGCTGCCGGCTACTGGCTCTGCGCTTCCTGTTGCGCCTCGTACAAGGACAGGAATCCCCCGCATGAACTCTGGCATATTATTTTCTAAGCACTCATCCTCGGTATTTAATGTCTAATGGGCACCTTAATTGGGGCCCACAATCAGCAACACATTCGTTTTATGCAATAGCTGTCACGTTTTTTCGTCCTATTCAGTCGACTTTCCCTGAGGTAGATGTGTTAGACAATCCTGTCATTGACACAACAGCCGCTTTGTTGATCCTGTTAGTTCCTCCGGCACGCCACGCCTGCTCTATAGTCTTGTGTCTTGGAGCACGCTGACGGCATCATTTCTGCCTGGCCACCTGCGGGACTCCATGCGGCGGCTGGGGTGGGGCGTTCTTTTTACTCTTGACCACCTTGAAAGGTGGAGAATGGTCCAGTCAGCAACATGTCCGAACTTCTCCCTACGGGGAACAAATCAGCATGTTTTAAGACAACGCGTCCTTGCTCGTGTTTTCTGGAGGGCTGTGCATGCTGGATTTCGCAGCTTCGGAGTGATCCGCTTTGTTTCTTCTGGGCGTTCTCGAGGCCGCTTCACCTGCCTTCTCATTGTTGCTGGTGCCCACTGTCTGGCATAATCGCTGTGAGGCTGTTGCTTCAGGTCGTCGCCGCCGCGCTATCTTACCGATTTTGGAGTGACTGTACAAAGAAATACTATCTGTTTTGTCGGAGGGACTCTTCTTTCTGGGAGAGAAGGAATTCCTTCGACACCAGTCCTGCCTTTTCGTATTCGTCTTCGAGAGATGTGTAAAGCTTGTTTTCAGGCCTGCCTGGTTTTGATAGGTTAATCTTTGCTTAGTAGTCGCACAAATACCTTGTAAATACTATGTAAATACCTAACATATAGAAATTTACATTTTATTTGTGTGTTCTTTGTTCCCCATGTATAGTGCATATGTAGACATATCTTGTTGTAACAATTCTTGTGTATCTGTGTATGTTGTGTACCGTGTACATATGTAAACACAACTTTTTGTAACAACTTTTGGTGTGTCTGTGGATGTTGTG